TTGGCTAGAGGTTAATTCAAAGCCATGAATATATTTGTAATATGAATTGATTACCTTAAGTTGTGATTTATAAGTTGTGAATTCAATTTACTTATCCGTTCGTATAAAAACTGATTTGTGTATGTTGGTTGAGAGTGCACGCTTAATTTTCATGCATGAATTTGATGCTAGAATATAAGGGAGTTTCACCTAATCGTTATGAACTTATATTCACAAGTAGTGAAGGTTGCTAGTCATAATCACGTTAAGTAAATTCTTGGCATAAGTTTCATGCAAATCATAGTAACGAGTGTCTCGTCAATGCTTATGTTTTTCATAGAACTTAATGATTCTCGCTTGTATCTCTATTATGCAACTCATGTAGGGAACTTGTAGGGAATGTTTTGGGTTGTCGTATGCAATCATCCAACCCAATAACTTGTGGAAAAACTGAGGGTTAATTAGTGCAATTCACGGTTAATTTTGGGCGTTGAGTATTCATAGCTTATCGAAAAGCAACTGGAAATCATTTTGTATGCAAGTATAACATGTGTGGAGAAGAACCCTCTAGCTAGTCCGTCATTTATCATTTTACCTTAATTTTATATTTTTGTCAATTCTGTAATTTAATTAAGTTTAATTTACTTTTCATCAAAACCAAACACCCATCCATTATTAAATTATATTATTAGTTAGTTTTCTTTATTGTTAGTCTTTTAATTTAATTTCCGTCCATTTCAGTTCCTAGTGTTTAATTTAATTGTTTTCATTATTTTGAGTCATTTTAAGTGTGTTTCGAGTTATTAGAGTTTTTAGCCTAGTTTTGTGTCCTTGAGTCTTATTTAATATTTTTAAATTAATTTACAATAGATTAGCAATCCCTCCTAATCCCCGGCCTAGAACGATACCCTACTTACATCTATACTACAATTGTCAAAAAGAGGGTTTAATTTGTGTGTTAAGTAATTTTACACATCAATGATGTAAAATTTTGTGAAAACACATTTCCTTTCTTTTCTATTTCAACACCACATGCTCCCACTATTGATTTTTTTTTCCTTCTTACCATGATGACATCATCAATGCCCATCCATCAGACTAGACCTGACATTCGTGTCGTGTTTTTCATGTGCGTGTCGTTTTTGTGTCATACCCGATATCTTAACAGGTCATGTCGTGTAGCACCCGTTAAAATAAACAGGTAAAATGAACGGATCCGAAATCGACCCGATAATATTAACAGGTAATATGACCCGACCCGTTACCCGTTAAGCAAAATATATTTTAAACCAATAAATAATCAAATGAAAAAACATAATACTAGATAAGTATATACATATCATATTGTCACATCCAAAACATAAAAACTCATTTTTCTTTTAAGTATATTTTCACTTACCTAAAGTCTTTAATAGTTTTTTAATTAATGTAGAAGTGTAATAGTTTGTCACTATGAGTGATTGTATGTTTTTTTTTTTTACATTTTTTACACTTCTACAATAATTATTATTAATTTTATTAATTTTTCCCTCAAATAAAAAACATTATTCATGAAGGTTTGGAGGATTTTAAAAATCTAAACGATAATGTAAGTATAACTATTATCTACTCGTGGAGGAATAATGATGAATCACAAGTGTTTATATATTCTTTCACATTTTGCATACTTGTATATATGTTTTCTTAGTTTTTGCCTATACAAATATTATATTAATTTATTTTAATTTTGGACAACAACATGTTAAGTAAAATTTATCCCAGTAATGATAATAAGGAACTTTCATAAAAAAATAAATAATGACTAATTTTTTTTTTAAACTTATATAGAATAATAATACAAAACTATAAATTTAATATAGAATATATTGTATATATTAATAAGACTATTGTATTTTATAATAAATCTTTTAGTAATTAAACTTTAAAATTATCAAAATAATTTTTTTCTTAACAGGTCGAAACGGGTTACCCACGTGTTACCCACGTGTATACCCGTTAAGAACCCGTTATTAACGAGTTCTTAACGGGTCACTCGATAATGATCCGATAAGTTATCGTGTTAACCTGAAAGCTGCTATTTTCGTATCGTGTCATAAACTGTCGGGTCTACATCAGACCTTCTTTCCAACACCAATGTGCCATTAAATAATCCACCTACACAGACCAATGTTCCATTAAATAATCCACCTACACAAACCCCACCGTCCATCTTAGAGCAACTCCACCCTTGGAGCCCTTCCCCCTGACAATTCACTATTGAATCCACCTATTGAACAATAACTGTCTTTAATGAATAGCAACTACCATTAATGAACAGTAATTACCTTTTGCGTCTCCACCCTTGGAGCCCTCCCCCTGGCAATATGTAATAAAATATTAGTTTTTTTTGTTTGTTTAAATAATATAAAATATAAAAAAACATTGGAAATGGGGCTGCAGGCCCTCGGGCTGACAAAAAAAAAAAATAATAATGCCTGGCCCTCGGGCTGCAGGCTGGTGGATTCCTCACGGGCCTTGTGCTCGAGCTCCCACCCTCACTCGGGCTCTCCATGGCTGGAGCACTGTCCACCGGGCCTTAGGCCCTTTCTTCTCCCCTGTCCCCAGAGCAATCCACATGGGTGGAATTGCTCTTACCAACTCCACCTGACCAAACCCCACATACACATTCCCATACTCCATTATCAGTGCCAATATCCCATGCACATCACCCAAAGCAGTCCGACACACCAAAAAGACTATCTGCCCTACTTGTCCAGACACCAGCTGACCTGCCCATCAGCAGCTCTACACCACCTGTGTCCTCACATCCTGTCCATTCCACGGAATCTGATCATCCCACCAAATCAAATAATCCATCCCTACCCCCTCATCTATCACACCCCCATGACAGTCTCTTCAACCTAGGCAACCCCCCACATGGATAAAGACTATCATATGTCAAACCAAGTCAATCACTCTGCCCTGACGTCGCGTTCTTCCTCAGGTTTTTTGATTTTCTTTCCTACTCTCGTTATTCTTCAGCCCATTGTGCTTTTCTAGCTACTGTTACAGGTCAAACAGAGCCTACCTCCTACACTTAAGCTATCCTTTATCTTAATTGGCGCCAAGCTATGCATACAGAATTAGAGGCTTTACAACACAATAACACATGGAGTATGGTTCCTCTACCTATTGGTTAGAAACGTTGTAAATGGGTTTACAAAATTAAATGCAAGTCTGATGGCACCATTGACAGATACAAGGCTTAAGGATACACTCAGGTTGAAGGAGTTGACTATCAGGATACTTTTTCCCCTACAACCAAACTCACTACCTTCCACTGCCTTCTTACTGTTGCAATTGCTCACCATTGATTTATCCATCAATGGGATGTTCAAAATGCTTTTCTTCACGACGATTTACATGAAGTTGTGTACATGGAGCCTCCTTCTGGTTTTCGCCGATAAGGGGAGAACCTTGTATGTCAGCTTAACAAGTCACTCTATGGACTCAAACAAGCATCCAGAAATTGGTTATCTATCTTTTTAGATACCATTCAGAAAGCTGGTTATCAACAATCCAAAGCAGATTATTCTCTTTTCACCAAGACTCAAGGTACTTCATTTACTGCAGTTCTTATCTATGTCGATGACATACTTCTTACAGGCAATGATCTTCAAGAAATGGAACGTCTCAAACAATTTCTTCTCAAACGCTTCCGCATCAAAGATCTTAGAAATTTGAAATATTTTTTTGGCTTAGAATTCTCCCATTCGAAGAAAGGTATTTTCATGTCTCAGAGGAAATATGCACTCGATATTTTACAAGACTCAGACTTTTAGGCGCACACCCAGAAAAGTTTCCCATGGAGCAGAACTTGAAACTTACCCCTACTAATGGAACATTACTTAGTGATCCAACCAAGTACAGAAAACTAGTTGGTAGATTAATTTACCTTATTGTTACAAGGCTTGGCATAGTTTATTCTGTTCGCACATTGAGTCAATTCATGCACGAACCTCGCAAACCTCATTGGGATGCTGCCTTACGAATTCTCAAATACATCAAAGGAGCCCCTGGTCAAGGCTTACTATTTCCCGCCTCCAATAGTCTTGCCTTGAAAGCCTTTTGTGATTTAGACTGGGGAGGTTGTCGTGCTACAAGAAGGTCGGTTACAGGCTATTGCATTTTTCTTGGGAATTCTCTCATTTCATGGAAGTAAAAAAAACAAAACACTGTTTCTAGATCCTCCGTAGAAGCCGAATATCGAGCTATGACCAACACATGCCTGGAGCTGACATGGTTACGTTATATATTAGAGGATTTAAAAGTCCCACAGATAGCCCCTACATCATTGTTCTGTGATAATCAATCAGCTTTATACATTGCAGCAAATCCTGTCTTTCATGAATGCACGAAACACATTGAAATAGATTGTCACATTGTTCGAGAAAAACTACAAGCTGGAATGATTAATCCCACATATGTGCCTACACGCTTCCAGTTGGCAGATATATTTACAAAGGCCTTGGGAAAAGATCAATTTGTGACATTATGCGACAAGTTGGGACTTCATAATATTCACTCTCCAACTTGAAGGGGAGTATTAAGAAATATCCTTGTAATATATTGTAGAATCCTTGTAATATATCATCGTTACTGTAGAATATTTACTTTCTTATATTAGGTAGGTCAAATCCCACTTTAGGCGGATCACGTTTTCTATGCCGTAGAAGAAGTCATGATTGGATTGATGTATTTGTATATATTTTCGTTTCTTTGCTATTGATGAATATAGAAAACTATTCAACCACTGCCTGCAATTCTTCTAGCCTTCTATCTGTTTCACTATTACAGTTTTCTAAGAGAATTCAAACATAAATTACGAATACATAAGTAAATACTTTTTAATCACTTGAGTTACAAGTTCATCGCAAATCAATACAACCTACTTAAAATATCTTTAACCAATAGATCACTATGGTGATCACTGGTTTTGAATGTTATGTGTACCCAAAATCCTTATTTTAAAGGCCCACCCTTCAATACCACCCCTTTGAAGCTGCTATTGATAAGCCTACATTGCGCACTATATGATGCATTTTTACACATCCTTCCTTGTCACTGTCTAACAACAGAAAACTACTTTTGAGTATGTCAATCAATGTCTCCACACACTTTCCTGCTTCCCTCTTTGAATCGATGCCTTTAAACAGCTCAAGTCCAACCCCAAATTTCACTAAATCATGAACCAATATACTACAGCTTTTCGGATATATGCAGCAGAATAGAAACAATGATTTCGCTTCCTCACTCCCTAAACATTCGTAACACAAATCTATTTTCCGATACACTTCTTGTATCGTTTTTGGAATGTCACGTGGGCAAGGATTTCTTAGTTGTCTCAGTGCATCATCCCACATTTGCTTGCTTTGGTTCTGCAGTGCTCCTCCAACAGCTGAAATTACAAGTGGCGAACCAGCACATTCAGTCAGAACCTGTTGTGCTACCACACGTAGCTCAGGAGATTCAATCGAACTGCCTGCCATCTCTCTAAACAAACTCCAAGCTTCTTGCTCTGGCAAAACACCAATGGGGAAACTCTTCTTGGTTCCGGTCAGATGGAAGCTACTCTGAGCTCTCATGCTAACTCTAAATGCATCCAGGAGTCCCAACATAAAGATGATCTTGCACTTTCCGTTGGTTGATCCATAAGGGATTCCGATGGCCTCAAGATCAAGCATTTTCCGGACATCAAGCAATACCACAAGCAACGCCCTAGAGTCTTTGGTCATTCTAGCACGCAGCACCTCTGCCCGTTCAAACAAACTCCCATTTCCCAAATTCAGTTCTAGATTATCTGCAATCTCATCTTGTATTCGTCTCAAGTTCGGATCAAGGGACGCAACAGTCATGACAACTTCTTCAAATAGACCTTGCTGCTTGACTCTCTTCATGAACTCTTTCGTCGTTACTGTATCTCCTCTGTTGATTTTCCCACAATCAATGCTAATCAAGTTGATATTTTCATCCTGCAGAGCCCTCAAGACCTCCCTTGTACACGGTAATCTGTATTCCAAGCGCTCGGAAAGTTTCATGGCTGCTGGTGGAGCAGTAAAGTTGGATCTTCTCGAGGAGCTAGCCCCGTCACGAGCCATAACAGATTTGATCATAGAATGACAGAAACAGAATGAAAATAAGCAGCTGGTAAAGAACAATATCTATTTGATTGGACTGCGTACACCTCCCTCCGTTGAATGGTTTGTTAAATAGAGATACGTTCTTGATGCAGAGTTTTATCACAAAATCAACTAATTTGTCAGCAAAAGAAAAAAGGAAACTGTGGCTAGTCAAGTCTACAGTCTACAATTTCAAAGTCAAGCAGTTCGTATTTTGTATTGTACGAACAAACATGAATTTGAAAAGTAATTAGCCACGGCTCTGTTGGAAGATTCTTGTCAAAGTATGTCTATGTCATTGTATTAGCAGTCAGAAGCAGCAGCCACGGCTTTCTAGACAACTAACAATTAATTATACAACACCTAATTCATGGCGAGGTGCATTTTGTTGGAGGAATTTTTGTTAATTAATATTGTCTGCAAAGGAAAGAAATAACTAGTAACACAACTGGGATTTGGTCTAAGGGTTTGGAATTATCTGGAGTTGATGACAAAAACGAATTTGAACCACATTATTGCTAGTTTATTGTGAAACTTAACTTACTTCATAATCCTTTAATGTAGATAATATCGTTTGATAAAAAAAAAAACTAAAAATTTGATATTACCCCTTCAAACTATATTTTCCTGTACTAAAACTCATCTCCTTTTGTTTTCTTGAATAAAGCCCATTAACTAGCCTTCAACTAAACAAATTCTTTAGTTAAGTTTGACTTTTCAAATTGTGTATTTTTCGAATGCCTAAACTACCCCTATTAATACTTGGATGGGGTTTTTGGATCAGTTACTTGTTATATCCATTTAATTAATTATATATATTTTACAAAATAATTCATGCCATTCATTGTATATTCAATGTATTAGCTTTCAAATTGTTATAACGTGCCAATTGAAAAATAATAATACTAATTTCATAATTTTGTGCATTAAATATATAAGTTAATTTACCTACCCACACAACAATAAACCTAAAATAGCTTCGGCTAATACTCCAATCCCTAATACACAAAACAAAAGCTATATGTTCCGTACAATTTTTACCAACAAAATAGTCTAATTTACCTATTCCATCAAACCAAAATTTAAAGGGTCTAATTTACTTCCAAAATGGTCTATTTTACCTACATAATTTATGTGCATTAGATTAAAAGTTTATTTAATTGCCTACAAGCACAAACCCACAATGTTCGAACATTATCTAACATCACTAATTTTTTTTTGGGAATAGGTAAATTAATTTAAATGTAGGTAAATTAGTATAATATTTTATAAGTAGGTAAATTAGTATAATATTTGTACGTAGGTAATTACATTATTCAAAATGTTGGTAAATTAGTATAATATTTTATAAGTAGGTAAATTAATTTGTATGTAGATAATTACATGATTCAAACAATATTATTTTTTCCGTACAAGATATGTTTTTTTTTAAATTTTAAATTTGGTAAATTAATTTATATATGTTGCTAATATTTATGATACAAGAAAGGTAAAATATCCATATGGATTTAATTGCTCATCATAATTAGGATGAGTAATAACATTTATTGACCAAATTAGGGATTTGTGGCATAAGTTGTAAATGTATTGTAATAGTTGGTCATATATTTGTCTACATGGTAGGCTATTTGAAATTTAGGTTTTATTTGAATGTTTCAATTTAGGTGGGTTTTTATTTGGAAAATAGGAGTTTCAAGGACCTATATCTAAAGAACCAAAATAATAATAATAATAATAATAATAATAATAATAATAATTTAGGTGCCAATTTTTTTGCATTCCAAAAATGCCCCCCCTCCCCACACACACATGTCCTGCACTTTCCATGCTAGTCGTTAACAGTTAACAAATGTTTAACAACAACAAAACATATAAATTGAAATAATTTTGAAACTTTTTTATGTTTGAATGAAGAAATTTAAGATTGCTACGGAATTTTAATATGATGGAAATTGAAATGACGGGATTTTATTTTCAAGAATTTGTGAATTTTCTTGTTTGATTAACCTAAAAGAACAATAGAATTGAATACAAAATTTGTTATTTTTAAACTCTCAATCATAGAAATTGGGAAATAACACTTATTTACATGGAATTTAAACTTAGGAATTGGAGGTTCCAAATTCTAAGTTTTTTTTTCCATGCGGAAATCTAAATTTATATATTTATGAATCCAAACAAGAGAATTAGTGCATGTTGTTGTGGTCTATTTTATCTGACAGATGGACTAGGGCCGGCGGCAGAGAGAGAGAGGAGAGAGATGTGTGTTTGTAGAATTGTAGGGGAATGTGTGTGTTGTTATCCCTCCTACATTGTGCCTTTATTTATAGTAGTAAAGGGAGAGAAGATATTCCTTCTTCTCCAAGTAATACAAGTTGTAATAGGAAAGGATAACTAGAATCAAATCTTATCTAGGATTTACACAATCATACTTAAACTAGGAATGTTTACAACACTCCCCCTTGAGTGTGTAAATACTCAAGCTAGATTCAGCATCATGCAGAAGTTGAGGAAGTCGACTTGTTGGCACTGATTCCAAGGAACAACGCTTATTCTCAATAAGGTAGGAACTTGCATAAGTAGTAAGTCTCACTAAAAAACCCTAAGGCTATGGCAAAAACCCGAGTAGGGACAAAATCCATAGTCTAAGGAAAAATGCGTGAGAAATGCAAAGTCAAAAGAAACGTCTACAGGACGTCATCAGGGATATGACCAGCCCAAGGTGGGTGCCTCGTTAAAACCTAGTTAGGTAGCAAAAACCCAGTGGGAAAAATGCTCCTAATCGTAGGGAAAAAGAGTACATTAAGATCAAGCAAGTATCCAGAAGATACTCCCCCTGAGTTTGACATAATTCCAAAGAGAAATAGCAAAGTTACAACTTAGAAAGTTTACGCATACCAATTCCATGAACAAGCTTCTGAAACGTCGCCTTCGGTAGTGATTTGGTGAAGAGGTCGGCCAGATTGTCTTGTGATCGGATTTGCGTGACTTCAATCTTCTGTTGCTCTTGTTGTTGATGTGTAAAGAAGAACTTCGGCGCAATATGCTTGGTGTTGTCTCTTTTGATGTAACCCTTCTTGAGCTGTTCGATGCAAGCTGCGTTGTCTTCAAAAATCGTCGTCGGGGCATTAACGGCGGGATGAAGATCACAGGAGCTTCGAATATGGCCCACTACTGCTCTCAACCAAAAGCATTCCCGAGTTGCTTCATGTAAGGCGAGAATTTCAGCATGGTTAAACGAAGTGACAACTAAGGTCTGTTTAGTTGACCTCCAAGATATTGCGGTGCCTCCAACGGTAAAGACATAACCCGTTTGAGAACGCGCCTTGTGCGGATCAGATAAGTATCCAGCGTCGGCATAACCAACAAGGCGAGAATCAACCCGATGAGCATAGGGTGCGGCAACACTCGAGGATTCGTAGGGATAGAATAAGCCCAAATCCGTAGTACCCTTAAGGTAACGGAAGATGTCTTTCACGCCAGTCCAATGTCTGCGTGTTGGTGCATTGCTGTATCTTGCCAAAAGATTAACAGCGAAGGAGATGTCGGGTCTAGTGCATTGAGCTAAGTACAATAAAGCGCCTATCGCACTTAGATAAGGAACTTCAGGCTCCAAAATCTCTTCATCATCCTCCTTCGGACGGAAGGGATCTCGCTTTGCATCTAGCGTACGAACGACCATAGGAGTACTCGAAGGCTTCGCTTTATCCTCATTAAAACGGCGCAACACCTTCTGGGTGTAGTTCGATTGATGTACTAGGATTCCATCCGAACAATGCTCTATCTCGAGGCCGAGACAGTATCGAGTCTTACCTAGATCTTTCATCTCAAATTCCGACTTCAGGTGCGAAGCAGTTCTCGCGAGCTCTTCAGGAGTTCCGATTCAGAGTTCCGATGAGATTCATGTCATCGACATATACTGCAACAATCGCAAATCTGGAATGTGACTTCTTAATGAACACACAAGGGCATAGTTCGTTATTCACATATCCCTGATTAGTCAAATACTCACTTAAACGGTTATACCACATTCTTCCGGATTGTTTCAAACCGTATAGTGAACGCCTCAGCCGAATTGAGAGTGTGTTCCGGGGTTTGGAAATATTTGAACTAGTCAATGTAAGTCCTTCAGGAACTTTCATATAAATTTTCGTATCAAGATCCCCATAGAGATACGCGGTTACTACGTCCATCAGCTGCATATCCAGTTTTTCGGAAACTACCAAACTGATAAGGTATCGAAAAGTAATCACATCCATAACGGGTGAGTAAGTTTCGTCATAGTCAATCCCGGGGCGTTGTGAGAAACCTTATGCTACAAGACGAGCTTTGTAACGCACAATTTCGTTCTTCTCATTACGCTTCCGAACGAAAACCCACTTGTAGCCAACGGGCTTCACATGTGGAGGAGTAGGAACTACAGGTCCAAACACCTTACGTTTCGCAAGTGAATCAAGTTCGACTTGGATTGCTTGTTTCCAGTTTGACCAATCAGCTCTACGTCGACATTCATCAACGGAACGCGGTTCAATGTCATCGCTCAACATGATCTCAGTAGCTACTGCAAATGCTAATGCATCGTCGACAATCATCTCATTTCTACGCCACACATCATCTAAGCTAGCATAATAGACCGAAATCTCACGATTCTCGAGAGGAGGATTCGTCTCTTCAAGGACGCTTCCATAATCTAGAATTTCCTCATGAGTTGGGTAAAATGAGTAAGCGATAGTCGGATTCACGGTAGGCTCTTCAGGACCTTGTGCCGTGGTTTTCCTCTTCTGGGGGTGTGAATCCTTTGAACCAAGGGGTCTGCCACGCTTTTTGTGTAGGGGCAGATGATTGGCTAGCCGCTAATGTACGTGGATCACCAGAATTGGCGTCCCGGGCTTCCAGGAGGGTAGTCCGTCGTACATTTGGTACATCCATCTTTGCAGGCGTATTCGCAGCTGGAATATGTGATCTTGTCACGCGCGCTA